ACAAACATGGATGGGCCCACAGGGGTGTAGTCCTGCAATCTCCATCTCTTCTCAGAAAGATTAACCTTTACCTTAACCTATGACACGTCCAGTCAGTGTCAGGCTTTGGGTCGGTATCTCATCAGCCACACTTATATACTTGGAGGTCTGTAATCAGCCTTTTTAAAAGAATGGGATTAAACATTGGAGCATTTTTCAACATATGCAGCCAAAAGTCTTTATCTGTGTGTTTCTCTTTGCTCATAGGGAACTCAGAGGTGCATGGTCTTAGTCAGGTCTGCTTTGTTCTGCGTCGGACAAGTCTTCTTTGTTCTGTATAGTCTCAATACGTTTGGGTGAGGGAAGGATTTGCCCTCTGCTGTGATCACATGACCCAGAAGAGTTACTTTTTGTTGAACAAATTGCAATTTAGACAAGCTCGCTTTGTGACCTTCAGCAGCCAAATGTTTGAGCAAAGTAACTGTATCTCTCTTACAATTCTCACGTGTGGGGTGCGTACTGGGGAGTTGCATGGAATGATTTTCCATTATAGGGGCATTTTATGGGTTTACTTCTGTTGTTTTCATACATTTGAAGAAGTGGTCACAATTTACTTCAATTGTGTTGAATTTGGCTATAAAACAATAATTGACTTAGTTTTTCTGTAATTTCACACCCAATGTCAGCTTGCTCCTGCTCTTCCTATTACCAACCAAAGATAAGTGGTAGATAATGGATGGAAGAAGAACATTAGTGTCAGTATGTGTAATCAGTGTACAGTATGACTGAAACGCTCACAGTGATGGATCTTCCACAGCTTCGAGGTTGTGTCTGCAGTAACTTGGTCAGCCTGCTGGGGACGCTGCTTGCCTTCTGCCTGTACTGTTACAGCCTCAGCATAGTGAGAAACCTAGATGAGTGTGTGGTCGATTCCTCCGAACATTACTACAGACCATCATATTATGGATGTCCTGGGGAACACCTGATGGTGAGTCTTCATTTCTTTACATTTCATTTCTTGTAAATAAAAAGAGGAAATAGAAACATCAGAAGCAGATAATAGGATAGACGGATAAGCTGACCAGTAAACTAATCTAAAACAAGATGGAGAGACAGGTTTAGCGGATGAAACGTAATGGTGATGATGACATGGAGAAATAAATTGATGGATGGAAACAGTAAAATAATCCTAGTCATATTTAAGATTTGAAGAACCTTCTTTAAAATACATTCAAACAAGAAATAAATAAAGTATTCATACTGTACTTAAATCATGTCACATCACTGTGCTTAAATGTTTGATGTATTTCTTGTCTCCCATAGGCTTACGGCTGGACTTTGATTCTGCTGTTGTTACTCTATGACACAGGGGCAGTGGTCATGCACTGCCTTCTGTCTTTCACTGCCCTCAAAGCACTCAAAACTGAATAACCTAACACATGCGCATGCACACACACACACACACACA